CGTTTCACCTACAATTTAATTTTGAATCTACAAAACCGAATCCTTTGAAATCTTGCAGATGTTTTAAACATATGATAAGTATAATAAATTTTTATTCAAAATATATTTACTTCCTCCAAAAAATTGATGACGTCAGCCCAAAATTTTTCCAAATGAATCCTATATAAAATGTCCAAAATAAGATGAGACTATACTTGTGATTTATCATTCCATTCATATTTTTTAGTTTTGCTTATAGAGAGTATCTCAAAAAAATTAATCACTAGATCAATTTATTTTAATGATTGAATCAAGAATTGCAAAACTGAATTTTAAAATATTGCAGACGTTTTGAAGTTACTGTATGACATGGTACTTTTTAATCAAAATATATCTGTTTATCAAGCCCAAAAACTTGATGACGTCATCTCAAGATTTTGCCGAATAAATCCTTTCTAAAAATATCAAAATGTCATCAGTATATTTTCGTAATGTATCATTGCATTCATATTTTTTAGATTTGCTTTTACAGTGACTCAAAAAAATGTATGGATCAGTCAATTTATTTTAGAGAATAACTGGACCACGTTAACCAAAAACGTGCTAAGCGACAAAATTGCAATTTGAGTAATACTAAAATAAACTTTCATTAAAAACTAAAAATTTGTATTAATGTCGGAATAAAATGTTTGCCTTAAGAATACATGACTTTATGAATGTAGTCTATTTTGTTAATGGCATCAAAAACACCCAGTCCTTTACAGTTTTAAAGAAGCATTTTGGCGCTTGGTTCTTTTTTGAGAAAGCCATGATATTAAATTTATTATTCCGTAAAAACGCACTAAGTAATTTTTTGAAAAATATTATATATATTTATATTAATTTAACGACCTGCTATAAAAAGGGACATATGCCATGAAACAAAAACAAAAATGATTAAGTTAAATTTGTTTTCCCTAATTCGAAATCGATATCATGTGAAAAACCCTCCACATAAAATTCACAATTTATTCCCCGTAAGTTTTTGTAAAAGAGTTTTCCATCCTCGGGAATAAAAGGACATAATGTTTTTAGATCTGCCAACTTTTTACGCGATATTGCTTTTCCATTGGTCCATAATGTAGACAATTTTCCAAAATTTTTAGAAGTCTTTTCCTTTTATGCATCAAAACTTCATTGTAGATCTCATTTTCCTGATTACTTTTCATAAAAAAAGAAAACGGTTTATCTTTAGTAAGTTTAATCACTCTTGTTGTCAAGTATCTAATTTTTTGTTCATGTATGACTTCTATTTGTGGCACTAGACTCTAAATCGGCTTCACTACAAAAATGTTCTTTCTGCGTAAACTAAGAAAGAAAAATTAGCGGATTTTTCTTTCTACAATTTAACATAATATTGGCGAAATCTTGTGGCGTATATACTTAATGACTCCAAAATTTTTGTCATTTGGTAAAAAAACTATGTTCCGAAACATCAAATAAATCGTTTCTTAAGTAGAATGTTGCTATAATATTGATTTTAGCATGAATACAGTTTTTATATTACTATTTTGACTCCCACAAGAGTCAGACCACAGAGTCAGTTCTGTTATATCCTTTTTGGTAAAATTTTCAGTAGGTATTAAGCTCTTAAGACAAGATCCCACCTTTTGTGCGCCACCACCTATTTTCTTTTTTTCCACATAAAATAGTGTCCTTTCCTTGTTTTACTGGAGTAAATACTCACGTTATAGAGCCACAATTGACGCTTATAAAACACTATAACTTTGTAGGATAGTTACAAGGAAACAAAGTACTGCACAACCAATTAAAAAAAGTGCTGTGTCGCTTGGTACCTTTTTGATTAAAACATAATCCCAGATTTATTAAAGGCGCATAGTTCTACCTCAAATTTTTGTATAAAAATAATTAAGACAAATAAAGTATTTTTACAAATTAGTTTTTGACATTAAATTCTGACTGTTAAGATGTTTACCTCATTTTTTGCGATCTGGCGTTTGGTACGTTTTTGGTTAACATCGTTCAACTCAAGAGTTGCAGAAATGAATACTTTCAAATCTTGCAGACGTTTTAAAGTTATTGTAAGCATGGTAAATTGTTAAGAATATTTATTTATTACCCCCAAAAAATTGATGGAACGGCTCAATCGATTTTCGCAGATAATTTTGGAAATACCTACAATACAGTTATTTTTAGTATTACACTCCACCAATCCAAGGTGGTATACGTGTTGATCGTAAATGTTGATTAGGTCATCACAAAATTGTGTGAAGAAAAGACTCAACTCGAAAATGCTGAATAGGTTTCATTATACATTTGGTGCGTAGGAAGTTCTGTCGAAACAACGTTCGATCAATTTTTTGACAATGATTGATATAAATGCTCATACTCGAAATACGAAGTATCTACTCGAATATCAAATCAAAATGTTTCTGGTTTTTCTAGATGATGCTAATCCTTCAGTAGGTAACAGTTGATGCTCAAGTAGCATCTCTATACAACAAAAACGGAAAACAGTGACAGTGTTCAACCATCAAGGCAAAAATCGAGTCACCAAAATATAAGTTAGTATGGGGTAGACACCTTGAGATGGGAAACTCTATGGTCAGTGTTAGAAAGAACGCACTGCACAATTTATGCATAAATAAAAGTTAATTACCTGAAAAGTTTTCGATATTCCTGCTCCTAATGTGCTTTTCAAACTGAATGCACCTTTTGACGACGTTCCACGTTCATGAAAGTATCCATCTTTAGTCAAAATGCACTCTTACAACGATCCTACTCGTTTTCTAAGCTGCTTTACAAACAGCTCAGTCATTTGCCACGTCGATGCTCATTTTTAGATTAAATGCTTACAAAACGCCTAGATGTTCAATTTGTGTCCGGGGAGATACAATGTTTACGAGTAGGTACACAGTACATATAGTAGATGCTCAGGTATATAAGAGTAATAATGAAGTAGGTACTTCGTAATTCGAATATGAGTATCTACTCAGTTTTATTCATATCATCCAATGTCTCGCTTCAATGTTTGACTATTATGTTGATTATGAGCACAACGCTGATCAACTTCCGTACTCGAATTACCCATGAAATAAATCATTGCGGTTTGCACCTGAGGTAGTTCGTCGCACATTTGATTGACTTCGTTGACCTATGTCAGCTGGTCATGTTCTCGGCATTGTAATGAACTTCATAAAACGACACAGAATTATTTTCACAATAAATCAAATCTGTAAATTTTGTCTTGAGAATTTTAAAATATTGAAAACTTCAAATTAAATCCTTGAAAAACGGTAAAGTTTGAGGTTTTGTCGAAACCAACAAAGTGAATATAGGTACATAGAATGGCAGATCAAAATTAATAAGAAACTTTCGCAATGTGTAACTAAATTCACTGTAACCAAGACTTCTCTTAAAATAAACGACGTTTTTTTATTTACGAAAAAACAAAGAATGATTTGAAATGCAATATATATTTTTCACAATCGCACGGAAGAAATAGTTTTGTATGACACGTCAGTTAGACGACAGGTCCGTCAGAAACGCCAACTATTGAAATTAATTCGAAGTGGCGATTCCCATACAAAATTTTTAGAATTTTTTGATTTTTTAGCTGTCTTATTTTTTATAAATTTTCTTATATACAAACCTTGTTCTGACAATAAGGAACACATAAAAAAAAAGAATCATCCAATTCGGTGCAGTCGTTCTGAAGTTATGCGCGTACATACATTTCGGCGATTCATTTTTATTAATATAGATAGATAGATAGATAGATAGATACTCGTAGATAGATTAAAATTAAGTTTTATATGTAATATATTTTTTACAAGTTGCCATTGGGATTTCGATGTTAAATTTTATACCTCATGTTTACTTATGTTTGAGTAAAGACTCAGAGTTGACATTTTTACTGAATGTAAGTAAATTGTGTCATCTTTTCTCGACTTTATTAAAGGTTATGCTTTAAGTTAAACGATATTTCTTAAAAGAAATTATACTCTCTATAACATTTCTAAAATTTGATTACTCGTTCGATTGTTTTTACTGACCGGAATTCGTAACATGCTGCAGTACACAGTTAAAGAAAAAATAGGATTGGTCAGTGGATACATTATAGACTTATCGACAAGAAAAATTGCGTAAAATTTTGCTGCAGCATTTACGCATCGTCCCATACCCAGCAAGAGCAGAATTCAAACATAGCGCAGTTTCAGTTAAATTAGTTTTTATTTTCTTTTCTAAAAACTGCAATAACTGATTAAATTAAAATTTCAAAACCTCTTGTGATGTACCTAAACTTTTTAACCAAAATTAAGGTATGTTTACTTTTTAAAGCACAAATTAACAATTTATTGCAAAAGGTGGTAATGGAAATTAAAGTAGAATCCTAAGGTGCACTAAGCAAACTTTTAAGATGCCGTCATTAAGTTGTTGGATATGACGAACAGAAAAACAGCTAATTTTCGAATTAGCAACTCACCATGCATGATAACTTTCAAACATCTGCAAAATTAAAGTTAAATTATAACATTTTATTGTAAAATTTGAATTCCCTGAAACATACTCGTACATGCATCCAAAAAATATAGTGGATGTATAAATGACAGGTATCTGAACTTTATTTAATATTATTTTGAAAATTTTAAATAAGGTTTACTTATAAAACTTTTCAAATGACATACAATTTTTAGTAGGGATGTTCACACAAATTTTGGTAACCGTTGCACATACCACGTGGCCTTATTTCTTGCTACAGTAGCACAGTGCTCCAATAAAACTTCTTGTAAAAGCACGAGCAATTAAGAATCACAAAATATTCTCCAGCAAAACCTGTATCAATAACCGATGTATGCAGTCTTGAGAAAAAGTATGGTTGTAACGGCAATATTTTAGTAAATGGTTAGTGTTAAGTTAAGGTTAATCATTATGGACTTCCCTAGTACATTGACTAATGATTTTTATCAAGAAACTTGTAAAAATTAATAATTTATAGCTTATCTCATAAAATACTTTATGTGAAAAACCCAAACATTTACACTGGAGGACTCTCCAAAACTGGTTCTGGTGCACAGTAATTTAGTATTTATTGTATGCACAATAAGGTACAACTCAAACAGTTCAGTACTGCTGTTATTGTTACATCTATTTTCCAAGAATTTCTTCGATTTTCATATTTATGGTCAATAAAAAGATAGTCCCACTGAAGTTTTTTGTGTTTATTCAAAGCAACCATTGAATCTCGAGTTAGTTCTACTTGGTATCTTCTGCGAGAAACATGAATTTTGTGTGGACTGTCTTTACAATAGTTTTAGTGGACTTTGCCTCCAGTCAACAATTTGTAGGTAAGAATAATGGACCGTTAAGAATAAATTATAAGGTCATTGTCGGAAACGTAAACATGTCGCTTATGAAAGAGATAATATTTACACATTTCATATTGCCCCCCAGTACCTACACATTATGCGGACCATGACCGTGGGTAATTTCGCACTGGTAAAGGTAACTATATACTGACCACGAATGACCTCACTTTCTTGTCTTATTGTCATTCGTTTTAAAAACTCAATACACAGCCAAATTCATAATTGCTATTAATGAACATAATGTTGCAAAAAAATTTAATTTTTGATACCAAAGTACTAATAAATACGAAAATTAGTCGAAGGATGTTTCCATAGAATTTCTCTCGCCCTTAAAATACAGTTCAATAAACCCGGCTTCTTGGAAATATAAAAATGATTTTGGATTTTTTGTTTTGTGATTAAAATCAGAATATAGTACTCAGGTATTTCTAATTTTTATATCGCAAATCAAATATACTTGAGATTGCTTTTGTATTCGAACAGGCTAATGCTGCCGCAAAAGGATTGGAAGTTGCAGCTTTACTAATTTTATTTGGAGGTTGTCCTTCAATTTCGCTAAAGCAATTATTGGCTAGCTAAAGTTGTTCGAAAGGTCCACTTTATTTGGAAGTTTTCTCTGAAAAGTAAAATTAATTACTTAATTAAAATTTGGTCATCCATTTTGAGCTGATGTTTTGAAATGCAAAAAAAACCAAAATTGGACTTGACTTAGTCTTATATGTGTTAAAAAGTTGGTGGTTGATTTATTGCAACTCTTCATATTGCTCTAACTTCCGTGGCAAAATTGGCACTTCGCTTTAATTTTGTCACCAATCACTACAATTATTTTAAAACATTCTGATTTAAAGATAAGTGGCAAATTGATTTCCTCTCGCAAAATTGAATTAGACGCAAGATGCAGAACACAGGACATAGTTTTCAACAAGTTGAACTGAACTGAGCAACTGAACAAGAGGATTTTACTTGGTCCGCTAATACAATCTGCGGATTAAAAAGAGAGGATATCCCTCTTAATCCCAATCTTGTTACCTACTACTTTTCTAAACCCAACAAAATTTAGAAAAGACTGTTCACGGATGTAATTAAAAATGTAGTTAAATTGTAGTTAAAAATTTATCAAAATTGTTAAGATTTATAAAGGTACATTAAGCACCTACAGTCGAAAAAGTCTTTTAATATTAGGAGGAAACCTTTCAACCTCTTAAGCTCACTACACTAGGCAACTCAAATTTTGTTGTATATGTATTTCAACAATACCCTATAAATATTGACTTTATCTCTACATTTTTTAGGTGACGCATGTACTTTACAATCAACTAAATCACTGGGAGTTTGTAAATTGTTTAATGACTGTGAAAAAACACGAAAGGAACTACAACAGGGCCAGTTTCCTCAAACATGTGGATTTCAAGGAACACAACCAATAGTATGTTGCTCAGAAAGTAGGACAGTGACACCGGAGGCAAGCACAGTTGAAGAAACAATTACACCACGTCGATTACCAGGCGATATAAGTAAAAAAAGTAAGTATAAAAGAGTTAGAGTAATTTGTGTTTAAATACATATAAAAATTGAAACAATTGTGTTAAATTACAACCTGAATAATGGTAAGGAAAAAAGTGGTGGATGCTTAATTTGATAGAACTTCCCTCGTCGTTTGCGAATTTTATTTTTGATAATAATCCTTATAAGTTAAAACAGGTGTTAATAGGCATTTAAAAACTCCCCACGCAGACAGATAAACTGACAAAGGCTTCAAAATTAAAACATCCCTCTTTTTGCGTTAAGGGTTAATAAAATGAACTCTCTTAACTGTAGGCCAGGTACACATAAGAAATATATTTTGACTAAAAATTTACCATGCTTATGACAACTTTTCGTCTCAAACATTTCAGAGCATTCGGTTTTGCACTTTTATGTTTTCTCGACGTTTCATGATCCCTACAGTACGAAAAATGTAGTCCCTCGTTTCCGTCTGTGTGTCTGTCTATCTGTCTGTCTGTCTGGTGTCTGTATCCATTTTTATTAGACAGGTAACCTCCGAAGCTGCTCACGATGGTTAAATATTAACCACAATTTGGCTAATCATCCCCACCAACAATTTAATGACGTCATTTCAATGAATTGTATTTTAAAATGATTTGAATGTCATACAAAATATACTCCAATGCGAATCCGTTTTCGGTTTTTTCGCTAAACATTCAAATTTTCGCAAAAACATTTACAAGGTTACGTTATATTACCAAGACGGGACGTAAGTCCCCCTGGCGCATTGGTAATACGGTGTGACTACTTTTCTTTTGTGCTGTAACTAGTATTATCCATGTTGATGACGTCATCGCAATTTTTTTATTGATCAAATTAAGAACAAGTCACTCCATTTTCTCGAAAATGTGAAGCATACGTACGTCTTTATGTAATAATGATAAAATAAGAATTATAATATTCAGAACATTTTGTTCGATTGTGGTTTCATTAATAATTTTAGTCCTCTATTTTGAGAAGACAAACTCATTCAACTCAAACTAATTTCTACGTGATATTCTTTCGATGTATAAAATAAAAATTTATTTATAATTATAATTATAAATAAACATTTGAAACTCAGATTGCTATTACCTAGTGCTGAAGGACATTTTTTCCCGTTAGTTATGTGCTTTAAATGTATTCTACATTGTTCGTACCGCGCAGGGTCTGCGGGGGGTTATTTATGTCGCTGGTACAATTTCGAGGCGACGTTATCGCATTCTTTGTAGAAATAATTAGACAAAGTTTGGTTAGCGTCTTGTCTACAGTCTACGCGATACTAACAACACACAACAAAAATTGATACAGATTGACAAACAGGCAGACGGAAACGGGAGATCTATTTTTTCGTACTCTAAGGGTCATAACTCATCAAGAAAACATGAAAGTAACCAGTCGCCCGATGGACTCGATTTTAGCTTACGCTCGGGAAGTAAACACACTGTATTGTGTTATTTTTGTAAAATATAGCAATTTTAATTTCTATATAAAATAACTATACATAGTTAAAAATTAAGTCGAAGGTTATAGCCCATCCAGTGGAATAAATCATACCAATCTTTCTCGAACAATTATAAAATAAAGATATGCATGTAATGTTAAAGTTAATGTGAAGACGTGCTACGCGTGTGTTTCAAATGAGTTTTTCCTTTATAAATTTTTGTGATGACGTTATCAATATAAGAACACATATAACACGTAGGTGCAGTGTTATTAGTTATTATTAGGTTATATTTGTGCATTTGTTTTTTCAGAATGTCGAGATTACTCTTCTTACGTGTATAGGGTACTGCCACTTACTATTATCGGTGGTGTGCGAGCTGACCCAAAAGAATTTCCACACATGGTGAGAAAATTTAAATAGGTGTTGTTGAATTTTCTTGGAACAGCAAATTTGATTGTTCTGATATATTTTAACCAGTCTTTACAAAAAATTTAATACACTTTTGAACTATGATACTATGAACTAAGTTTCATAGAAGTGATTATTATTTTTTTTAAATAACGGTATTTCCAAGTGATAAACAGCAGTCTTTGTAAAAAGTATGTACAGGAATACATGCTCCTCTAAACGTGGATAGTTTCTACTTGTAGTTTAAATATTAAATTAGCAACCTCTGATTCGTAAATAGACACGTTTGATATCAACATCATAACTAATTTAAACCCAAAGCCATGCAAACAGCATGTCTTGGAAAAAGAACTGTCAATTGAAAGTTTACAACCATATACATAAGTTTTTTAAACCATATATATAATTTTATTGTGGTTGATTATTATTATTATTATTTTTGTGATAGGCCGCAGTTGGATACGAACCAGCTCCTGGAGATGTGCAATGGCTCTGTGGTGGAACAATTGTAAGCAAAAACTTTGTCTTAACAGCTGCACATTGTTTGAGTGATATGAATGCGTAAGTATGCTGCGAAATTATTGGTGTTTTTCATACATCGTAAGTGATAAAAGAGTGAAAATCTTAGTTTCCCTTCTACATATTTTTTAACTAAAGTATGGATACACCTAACTATTTCCAAAGCAGTTGATCAGAATTCACTGAAATTTGATGCACAAGTAAAAGTGCCTATTTGTACTCTATCTTCTGAACTTCTGAAGCATTATTCAAGTTTCCATCAGCATTTGTTTTGGAGATACAAGGCCGATTGTTGTAAAATTTTGTATTTATACTAGGTATATCATGTAGATGGAAAACCGCTAATCAAAATTTGATTTATCACTGCATAAATATTTTTTAGATTTGCTTATGCGGGGTGTGTGAAAAAAATTAATGACTGAGTCAATTGATTTTATTGATTAAATCAAGAATTGCAAAACTGAATACTAAATACTGAATACCTTATATTCCTAATATAAATACAAAATTTGACAACAATCGGCCCAGTACTTTCGGAGATTATCTGTCTAATAAAAATCCGGGACGACAGACAAACGGACAGACAGAGAGACGGACAGACGGACAGAGAGACGGAAATGGACGACCTATTTCTTCGTACCGTAGGGGTCATGAAAGGTCGAGAAAACGTAAAAGTAAAGAGTCGGTGAACGGACTCGTTTACAATACTTCTTTGCTTACCTCAGGAAGTAAAAAATCAAGTTGACCTTGTATCTTCAAAACAAATGTTCACTGAAATTTCGAGAGGATAGTTTTGCAATACTTTTACGTGTATACCAAATTTCAAAAAGTTCCGATGAACTGTTCTATGTAGAAATATTTAGCTGTATAAAAGTTACTAATTTTTTTTTTATGAAAAACTATACCTAATATGTCAAAATTTTTTAATATAATCAGTGATTAAAAAAATTAATACCCTCACTGATTACATTACGTGACATTTTACAGGGGAAATGCTAAATGGGTAAAACTTGGTGTGAACAAACTCACCGATCAAAGGCAAGAAGTAAAAATAGCTGACCGGATAGCTCATCCTGACTACAGAGCCAATTCTCACTATCACGATATTGGATTGTTAAGATTAGAAAAACCAGCTAAAATGAATCCAAACGCACGACCAGCGTGCCTTTATTTATCACCAAACATTACAGCTCGAAGTGCCGTAGCAACAGGATGGGGTCAAACGTCTTGGGGTGGCGAAGGCAGCAACGATTTGCTTAAAGTGACTGTTGAACTTTTTAATTGGAACGTTTGCGACGAGACCTACAAGAATCAAAGGAAACTCAAAAGAGGCATTTTGAATGATATTCAATTTTGTGCCGGCTCGATGACAGAAGAAAAAGATACCTGCAAAGTAAATAAATACTAATATATTATACCACCCACTCTATTAATTAAATACAAAAATGGACCCATTCTATTGTTTGGAACGAAGGCCGGCGAATAAGAGATGGCGCACCAACATGTGGCCGAGAAACGCCGTCGTCTAACTTGGATCCCAATCGCGAGCATAGACTACCCCTACAACAGCAACAAAACTATTCTTAAATCTACCACTCAATAGAGGACGACGGAAAAAATTTGTAAGAAAGATTTGTAAAAAGATAATTTACAACGTTGCAGATGAACCTAACATGACTTTGCCGATATTTCTAGTCAACTAGATTTTCTTTCGTTTAGAAGTTTCTGATAATTAAATGAGTTTTTCGGAAAAAAATCGTCTTTATGTGTTTTAAAATTCACTCCGGATTTTCGGCCTTCGACACTAAAACTATCTCACAGAATACAAAGAGTGTAAAGAATGAAACAGGTTTACCAACTCTTCTTTTGTTACTTCCCGAGCGTAAGCAAAAGGAGTTTTTAAGAAAACGAATATAAAATTATTTTCCTTTGTATTTATTACTAACAAAAGCGGGCTCACGAAAGCGTAAAAAAATTCCAATGAGTTATTTATATTTATTTTTAAGTTTTCAATGGCACTAACAAGTATTTAAAACAACCACTAATAATTTGTTTGTATTAACTATTTATTCATTATAATAATCCCATTTATTTATCAGAAATAAAATCTAATTGACTAGAAATATAGAAAAAGTTGTGTTAGGCTCATCTGGCAGCGTTGTAAATTATCTTAAAGCCTACTATGAGATTCTTACAACTTTTTCCGTCGCCCTCTGTAGCGTGGTTTATTTAAGAACAGTTTTCGACGGGATGGGTCTATCAGTATGTACTTAATCAATGATCCCTTTTCTTTCTTGTTCCTAGTATTTCAGTCAGCATATGACTAAAAGGTTTGTGCTGAATGGTTATTAAATTTAGAACTAAATAAGTATAACTTAGCCGTTAGCACTAATAAACTTTCTTTTATTCCAGGGAGACTCTGGAGGTCCGTTACAAATTAATCACACCGGTGACGAAATAAAATATATGTATGACATAATAGGTATCACGTCCTTCGGAAAAGGTTGTGCTGGTAGTCCTGGAGTATATGTGAGAGTTTCAAATTATATCCAATGGATAGAAGACATTGTATGGCCATAGATTTACTTTCACCATAGAGGATGTCACGTACTAAATATATACGAGTATACTTGTCCTTATTTGCTATTATAAGGAACTGCTATGCCGTGTTACTCTAAATTACTCGCTGTAAAGTTCTTTACACTTTCTTTCTCTAATCGAGAAGTATTGTAATCGAGTCCGTCGGGAGACTCTCTACTTTTACGTTTTCTCAAACTTTCATGACCCCTGGAGTACGAAGAAATATGTCCCGTTTCCGTCAATACGTCTGTCAGTCTGTCTGCCGTCTCGGATTGTTATTAGACAGATATCTCCGAAAGTACTGGGTCGATTATTGTAAAATTTTGTATTTAGGTATATTAGGAATGTCATGTAGATGGTAAAACGCTAAGAAAAATTTGTCTAATCATCCCCACCAATAATGTGATGACGTGTCTCTTCAAAATTGTACATGGTAAATGAGTTTTAAATTGAGTGGTCTAATTTTTTGCTACAGTAGCACAGTGCTCCAAGAAAACTTCTTGTAAAAGCACGAGCAGTTAAGAATCACATCGTTGTAACGTCAATATTTTAGTACTTGGTTAGTATTAATTTATGGTTAATTATTATTATGGACGTCCCCTGTACCTTGACTAATGATTTTTATTAAGAAACTTGCAAAAATTAATAACTTATAGCTTATCTCATAAAATAATTTATGTGAAAAACCCAAAGACTTACACTAGAGGACTCTCCAAAACTGGTCCCAGTGCACAATACTGCCGTTACTGTTATATCTATATTCCAAGAATTTCTTCCATTTTTATATTTATGGCCAATAAAAAGATAGTCCCACTGAAGTTTTTTGTGTTTATTCAAAGTAACCATTGAATCTCGAATCAGTTCTGCTTGGTGTCCTCTACGAGAAACATGAGTTTTGTGTTGACTGTCTTTACAATAATAGTTTTAGTGGACTTTGCCTCTAGTCAACAATTTGTTGGTAAGAATAATGGTCTGCTAAGAATAAATTAAAAGGTCATTGTCGGAAATATGAACATATCGCTTATGAAAGAGACAATATTTACAGATTTCATATTGCCTCCCCAGTACACATTATGCCGACCATGACCGCGGTTAATTTCACACTGTCAAAGTAACTACCGACCACGAATTAGCTCACTTTGTTGTCTTATTGTCATTCGTTTTAAAAACTCAATACACAGCCAAATTGATAACTGCTATTAATGAAGATAGTCTGACAAAAGAATTTAATTTTTGATGCCAAAGCACGAAAATTAGTCTTCCCTCGTCCTTAAAATACAGTAACAAATCCGGCTTCTTGGAAATATTAAAATGAGTTTGCAATTTTTGTTTTGTGATAACCTCTATAAAAAAAAAGCAGTGGCGTAGATCACACTCCGCCTCCCATGCTCCGCGGAGATGCAAATTTCAAGGGAGCGCGATCCACACAAATGGGCGCAATATGAAATATATTTAAAACAGAAAACCCACGAAAAAAGTGCATTATATGCTTAACTACGATTGTTTATGTCTACACATCTAAAAAATGTCACAAATAGCACGTAGAAATTTGTTTTATTTGCGTGCGCGGCAAAATAAGTATAAATAAAAACAACCGTTCCCACAAAAACCACGTGATCGACCTAAACTCATTCATTATTTATGTAAATCTGTACAAATGTAAATACGTCCTATCTTTCGTCTACCTGCCCTATGCTCCTATTTTCTCTTCCAATTTCTAGAATTTTCTAAACTCTTTCTTTACCCGCCTCCACCTCTCCAAAACAGAACCTACCTGTAGGTTCAAACACCCTTCTAAAAAAACAAAACCTCTCCCTCGAGCTCTCAAACTGTAACCATCAAATAAAAAGATCTGAAAACCGTAACCGTCGCTATTTCTCAAATTCACCAACGATACCCACAACGTTTTGATTAAAAATTTACCATGCTTACAAAAGCTTCAAAACATCTACAATATTTCAAAGTATTCAGTTTTGCTATTCTTGATTTCTTCAATAAAATAAATTGACTCAGTCATTAACTTTTTTGAGACACCTGTATAACCAAATCTAAAAAATATTAATGCAGTGATAAATCACAAGTATAAAAACTCATCATATTTTATACATTTAAGATAGGATTTATTCTGCAAAATTTTGAGGTGACGTCATAAGTTTTTTAGAGGGGATAAGCAAATATATTTTAATTAAAAATGTATCATGTTTATCATGACTTTAAAACATCTGCAAGATATCAAAGTATTCGATTTTGCAAATTCAAAATTAAATTGCAAAATATTGTTTTATAATTTTGATTTTTTTTTCAAAAATCTGGATGTTTCGGATAAAAACTTAACACGAAGTCATAAACTACATGTGTAGGACTATGTTACTGTATACAATTTAAAACCCATTTAGTATGCATAAATTTGAAGTGACGTCATCACATTATTGGTGGGGATGATTAGACAAATTTAATAATTTTGCGACATTTATGAAAAAAATATCAGTTAACAAAAATTGCACGTTTTTATTATTATGCCAGTTACATGTCACTCAACGACAATATCGTTTTTTTTTATTTATTTATTATGAACATTTAAGAGTATTTTATTTGAAAAAGTGATGAAATTTTTTATACGGAACAATTGGTCGAAAGATGTTAGAAAGCAAAATAATTCCTGTCCGGATCATCGTTACTCACGAACGAAAGTGACCATTATTTTATGGGAACAACTACCTGCTAAATCTTCTCCGACAAATTCGAGAGAACTGGTGTGAGCCATAAATATTTCTTACCAAATGTAAATTTCGTTATAGTTTGAGCCTACCTACAAATTCTGCCCTTGAAGGATTTGGACCGCCTTCTTCGGTGAGGGCAGGCAAAAACGATCCGCCCGTAGGCTCAAAACATTTGCGTGCGATTGTACATCTAATATAATAAATATTTATATTTCCAATAATCTAAACACTAAACTGGTCAGTCTGGAAGGCGTCGAAGGCAATCTTAAAATTAGCTACTGAAGTACTCTGTACAATATGAGAAGGAGTTGAATTCCATGTGTTGAAAATTCGGTTTGATAAGAAGAAATGCCTGATTCTGGTCCGAAAATTCTCTTCCTGCAGTAAAGAGTAAACGGATGGGTGATCCATTACTGACAGCTTTAAAAGTTGTTATTGCACCTCTTTAGCTTCTGCAGCTTCACACGGATCTCATCCTCAATAAAATCAACATTAGATAAAGATACACCACATTGAGGCGTTGCGATATCTGGGGGACTATCTAACGGTTCTATGGTGTACTGATTTGCAGACGAGTCAGCGAAAACCTTTGCAATATCTTCATTTTCCGTGATTAGAGTGCCAACAGAATTTTGAATTTGAGGTGTCCTTACGGATCCACCAAGAGTATCTCGAATATATTTATAGAAGCATTTTGGGTTTTTACTGTTAACAAGACGAACTTCATAAGCCACCTTGGAATCTTTAACGTTCGATGCTAATAAGTTAGAAAACGTCCTATGAGCTGCATAACACATCTCGTTACCTGTTCGTTTGTATGTTTTCCACAAGATTTTCTTGCGTCGAACCATCTGTAATATCTGGTGGTTTCTCCATGGTTTTTTGGCCGATCGGGTAAATGTTCTAGATACAGAATTTTGACGAGACAACTCAAGTAAATGTGATTTGAAGACTTCCCAGTTTTCCTCTACGGTGTCGTGCATTAATAATGCTTCCCAGTTAGTTTCGAGAAAATCATTTTCTAACAAACGATAATAATTAGTGATCGACCGCGTGAATGAAATTATCCTCTTTTGAGTAAGAAGGCTGACTTGTAGGTTGGCCATAATCGTTACATGATCTGCTTTAGGTACCAATCGGACTAGTAAACTCTAAATTAGAGAGCAGGTCGGGGCTGGAAGAAATAATAAGATCTAAAACCGAGGGCTGTTGATTGACTCTATACCTGGTTGGTTGAGTAACTAGTTGACACAAGTGAGAATCGTTTAACACATCCGATAACAACTGATAAGAAGGATTCGAAGATACTAGCGTTGCTAAAGCCCAACTCAAGTCAGGCATATTAAAGTCGCCAAAGATAAGAAGGTTAGTATAATCGTTCGCCAAGTTAGATATTATGTCAAAAAATTTGGAATCACTCTCAAAATCAGTCGACGGAGCCCTGTATACATATACAGCCGAGAGCAAGCGTTAAGGAACGGTTAGAAAGCCTTATAACTAAGGACTCGATATTTAACGTAGGTGTATCTATGATAGTGATTGTGAAGTTAGACATCACATGATCAGATACATATATGCAAACTCCTCCTCCTCTACTAAATTGCCTATCTTTTCTAAATAGATGATAGCCAGACAACGATATTAATGCAACAGGTAACTTAGAGTTAAGCCACGTTTCACTAACTAAAATAAATGAAGGCTTATTGACTAAAACAAAAGCAGAGAACTCATTAAAGTTTGCATATAACGACGCGGTGTTACGGTACATAAGAGGACACAAAAACAAAGAAGCAGAGGGTTCAGTGGCGTCCATGAATTTGAAGAGAAAAGAAAAAAACTAATAAGTATCTGGATCATTGTTATTCTCCGTACTACAAGTCTGGTGCCGGGCATAAGCCTTTTTAAGTTTCCACTGTACTTTCAAACAAAGTATATCTAGGGTCTCTAGTTGTTGTATATTAACTTTTATAGGAAATCTCTATTTGTTTAAAGTTGTTTATTTTACGATTCTTCATACATTTTTAGCGTACAGGTCTTCAACCTAACCTCATTATTCTACTTATTGCTAAAGCTGGCTTTGCCTCTCTTTTTTCTCGTAAAGCCGCGCTTACACTACACTACATATCTCCCCCCTTAGTCAACCTACATGTTTCCTAATTAATACCTTATCCATTCATTTGCCTGCCATCGTGATGGGGTTTTTTTTGTTCGGATAGGTCGGTTACTCTTTTGATTAGATTCCGCGTTCTCGTGCTGACCAGATGTTTCAGGGATTGACTCGTTTGGGATACAGGGATCTGGTTGTGTTGGGTTATGGCGTGTCTCGACGTTAGTAGAGCTCGTGGTCTCCTTTACTGTTTCCTTGTCTGATATAATTGCTGGAACCTTTGACGTTGTTGATGCCTTTCTTATAATTTTTTCTGTTCCTTTATCGTCAGATTCTGTGTCTGTCGGTATGATTGTTTTCATTTGATCCACATGTCGTTTTGTTACCCTCCCGTTTCCGATGATTTTGCACAAAAACATTTTTTGTCCAATTGTCTGAGTAACTTTGGCTTCCATCCACGCCTTTTTGTTGGTATCTTTATAATCTCTGATTGCCACTACTTCGCCTATTTGAAATTTCATTGTTCTTGGTGTTTTCCGCGTGTCGTAACTTATTTTCTCTTCCTGCGGTTTAATCAAACTGAATAAAGTTCTGATGTTTCTATTCAGCATCCGGAAAGCAGGAGTTTCATTCGTTGTGGCGTGTTTTGCGTTCCTGTAATGAATTAGATATCGGCTTACGAGAATGTCGGTGCGGGTGTTCTTATTTCGTTTGTCAAAAAGAGCGGTTTTCAGCCCTCTTTTAAACGATTTCACTGCGTTCTCTGCTGCACCATTTGATGCCGGATGATACGGTGCTATGGTTACATGGTGTACTCCATTATTTCGTAAAAATTGTTCGCAATCTCGTGAAACTAGTTGCGTTCCGTTGTCTGAGACTATTAACTCCGGAATTCCCCATCTGCAGAATGTCTCTCTTAGTTTGCGTATTGTTGTATCCGCAGTTATGTTTGGAACTTCGTATATTTCTGGCCATTTGCTGAATGCGTCCAGCATTAGAAAATAATATTTACCGTTTATCGGGCTTAAATAATCGATGTGCACACGTTGCCAGGGTCTTGTAGCTTTGTTCCATGGCGTTGGAATCGCCTTTTGGGGATCATCAGACGTCATGATGCACGCCCTACATGAC